CACATTGATCTGCAGGGACCACATTGATCTGCAGAGATCACATTGATCTGCAGGGACCACATTGATCTGCAGAGATCACATTGATCTGCAGGGACCACATTGATCTGCAGGGACCACATTGATCTGCAGGGACCACATTGATCTGCAGGGACCACATTGATCTGCAGGGACCACACTGATCTGCAGGGACCACACTGATCTGCAGGAACCACACTGATCTGCAGGAACCACACTGATCTGCAGCTTTTCTCTTATTCTCACCTGACTGCTGGTGTTTGTGTGTCCTACTGGGCCACAGTCACACAGACGGCAGCAGCCGTTCCCATCCTGTGTTTCAATGCTCCACTGAGTGTATTTTAGGCTGAGCAAGCATGCGTAAATGCACTGTCTGTGTGTGTTTGTCAGTGTGTGTCAGTGTGTGTGTGTTTGCGTGTTGTGGCCAGGCCTTTCCCAGCAGCAGCAGCAGCAGGGCGGTGATGCGGTGGTGATAGAAGGGGGGTTGATGAGAGGGGGGACCGAGCCAACCACGCCTCGACGCTTCCTGTCCATGGATATACTGGGGCCTCGCTCACTTTCTCGCTCTGCCTCGTTCTTTTTCGAGATGCCTTCCTCTCCCCTCCTGTTCCTCACTCAGTGTTTTTACTCTCATTCTTGCCATTTCTGACCGACCGTTTCGTTTTTTTCCCTCTTCCTCTCACCAGGACTATTATTATCTGCTCATTCCTCCTGTCTCTCTCTCACACTCTATACCCTAAAGGAACCTCAGCAGCGTGCTTTATTATCAAGAAGTAAACAAAGTGGGTTTACTTGTTCACACAGGGTTTATTTGTCACTTACACAAACAACATGTGATAAAGTGCAATTTTCCATACTTATAAAACTGTGCTAAAAGAATAGTGAAAGACATTATTGCTGGGAATAAAAATAGGCTGTATCCACAGTATTCCTGATTTCGCGCCATTACCCATAATTCATAGCGGAAGCGGGTTCCATATTTCCGCTTGGCTGTAGTTTACAATTATGAGGATACACCATTGCTGTTTATCAAAGCATTTTTCATTGAAATTTGGCGTAGATGGCCATATATCGGAGGTGTAGAATACTGTAAGGATGTTTTTAAAAAGCGGCGAGGACAATTCTTTATCAGTGGCTCACTCGTCACTGCTCACAGACTGATGAAGCAATGTCCCGATGTTAGCTAATAGCTACTACTGACATCAACTACCTCGTCTTTCCCCGAAGACACACACACATGCAAAATCATAAATGTCAACCGTTCTGGAAGTAAAATGTTCATAAGCCCCTCAGAATTGTAATAATAGTATAAAAGCATTGTGATTAGACGGTTTCTCCCCCTTATTCTAAACAAAATAATTCACTAGGTGCTAGTTCGCTAGTAACTTTTAGAGATGAACTGGAGGGTTTCATACAGCTGCAGTCATTTTAAATAAATGATAAGTAAAAATAAATAAACTGCCTCTAATAACTTTTTAAGCATATTTTTTATTTAAACAAACAGGACACTTTTATAGCCCCTGGGCGCTGCTAAGCTCGTCTTTTAAACCTGCCATGATGTAAACAAGAGGATTGTTTATTATTCTGAGCTTACTCAGAACTGAGACAGTTAAATTAAGCCATTTATATACACTCACCGGCCACTTTATTAGGTACACCACGCTAGTAACGGGTTGGATCCCCTTTTGCCTTCAGAACTGCCTCAATTCTTCNATAAAGTGGCCGGTGAGTGTAGTTTTGTCAGCATGCGGCTACTAACCATAGGCAAAATATTTCTTTAAAGTTAAAATTAGTTGCAAATAACTAATTAACCGAGAGTTAAGGAATGCTCCAAAAGGCATTCCCGAGGTGAACAGGGTTTTTGGAAACAGGTGAGGATCATGATTGGGTATAAGGAGAATCCCCAAATCTCTGCAAGTCAGCAGCAAGGCTGAAAACCAATGCTGCGTTCACACCGAACGTGATTTCACCGTCAAAATCGCGTTCAACGCTTCAAGTTCAACTTGTGCACTTTGAGGTCAGAAGAGAGTCAAAATTGATCTTGAAGCATTTGACGCATGTCTAGCCCCCCTCCTCATCCGGTCTCTGTTTAATGGCGTATGAAATAAAGGAAGTGGCTTTGCTTTATTTACTGAGAGCATGAGAACGTTGCGTTCATCAGATAATTAATTCATAATTAATTCACCAGATAATTCAGATATTCTGAGTTTGGTGAGTTTCATCATCCAGGAGTAGGGGTGTAAGAAAATATCGAAACACTGAAATATTGCGATATTTCATTTCCCGATACTGTATCGATATTCTAAAGCTCTGTATCGATTTTTAATTAATGTTTAAAATGTCAAC